TATATGTATGCCCAAACTGAGAAGGCATTAAACCTTCATAATTAGATACATTTCTGTCTAAAAGGACTTCAGATTAAAGTCTCTTAGGAGACTTTGCCATTGTTTTTATAGTTAGAGTGAGTCATTTGAAAATAACAGGAAGATTATCTTTATTAAGGCAGGTTTAGGTAAGAATTAATCAGTTTATTCAGGTCCACTCTAAGGGAAGCATTGTGAAAGGTTATCTAAAAAAATGTCCTCTATTTTCCCTCTTCTCCAATTTAATTATTAAGAAGCTAACATGACTAATACATGGTTTCTTTATTTCTGAAGCATAAATACAGTTATAATTGTATTAATTTGATAAACTATAAAGTTAGAACACTCAATATTTTGATTAAAAACTTTAACCTTTTAGAAATATAGTAAAAATAAAACCATTATTTATCACTTGCCTTCTGCCTAATCACAACAGATTTAAGGTTGGCTCTGTTTTTATAAAAAGGATTTTGCTAATTTCTTTTCCATCATCAGATTGGAAGATTTATCTTCTGTAGCACTTATTTTTTTCTTTCTTGAGAATTAGATTTAATAACTGGAGACATTCAACTTTCTTCCAATAGTATTAGGAGATTGTTCATTTTCTGAAAGGATGTTTTGTTCTGAAGGACTAAGGATAAGAAAAAATTATAGCATCTTTTGACTAGAGCAAAATATAACCATTAACATTGTCCTTGTAGGATGCAAGCTGGGACTAATGAATGAAACAAGAGTTAAAGTAGAAAATGATAGCATTTAACTTTTTCTATATTAATAGAATACTAAAGTACAGATCTGATCTTATCACTGTCTTGCTTAGATCACCACTGATTTCTAAGATTCATAGTCCATAGCTAAACATTCAGATTCCTACATGATTTCTTTTTGTCTCATGTTCCTAGACCCATACTCGTTTACTTCTCCACCTGAAACTTTCAACTAACAATATAACTCACTGTTTCACAGTTCTGTCCCTTTTATTTCTTGATCCCCAAATGGTGTTCCTTCTGTAATTGGAATTTCGATCCATGTGAACCTTTTCCTGCCCTCTTATCTAAGTTAGATATGCCTCTTTCTGTGCTTCTATAAGCCTACCATATTTTTCTAACACCTCACTTATTACACCACGCTAGTATTAGCTTCTCTGTCTCCTCTCTTGTTTACTATATCAGCCTCTTTGAGAACAAAATATATGTCACACACATCTTTGTAGTCTCAGTATCCTATATGATGGTTGGAACACTATAGATATTAAAAAATATTATTGAAATGAACAAGAACTGAGAAAAGCTCTATTCTTTTTTATTTATTTTCTTTTTTTGGAGAGGTTTTTGCTATAGGGTGCGTGCGCTTGCCAGAAAGTCAGAGAGAGACAGAGAGAAAGCGAGAAATCAGTGATTTCTCCAATCCTTTATCCTCCATTCTCTTCTCGGGATCTTGGGCATGCACGCGCATACGCCCAGCGTGAGTTTAAGCCACCAGGTCCGGGACGTGAACTGCAGTCAACTACATGGGAGTCCAGCGACATAGCCATTACGCTGACTGCTGGTCCCAGAAAAGCTCAATTCTTAGTCCATGTTTATAATTTAATTTGTATTTACTCATTTTTCATTTTTCATTTTTTATTTTTGCTACAGAGTGCATATGCTCTTTGGAAATACAGAGACAGAGAGAGAGTGAATGTGAGGAATCACCCCACCAGGGTGAATGGCCTACTATTCCATTCTCCTCTTTGGATTTTAGGTACTTGCATACATGTGCTCATGATTTTCAAGCCACTGAGTCAGGAGTTCAAGTTGTGCAGTTGGCCATGTGGGATCCAGCTGCCTTAACCTCTAATCATCTGTTGCCCATCCCCAGCAAGTTTATAGTTTTGAACTTAAAAATGGTCTTATAAAAAAATGTCTCTAAGGTCATGTCCAAATCCTGAATTCAGCTAAAACCAAAATTCATAATGAAGCTAAACTGTTAAGCTTCTCAATGCAGTTTTTTTTTTTTTTTTGAGAGATTTTACCTGTAAGGCATGAGTGCTTGCTGGAGAGACAGAAGAGACAGAGAAACAGAAAGCGAGAAATCACCCCCCAGGGGGATGGCCATGCCACAACCCCTTCTCCATTCTCCTCTTGGGATTTTGGGCATGTACGCACACACACCCAGCATGAGTTTAAAGTCACTTGGTCCATGATTCCAACTGTGATTGTCTATGTGGGAGTACAGTGACGTAATCATCATGCCCATCTGCTGGTACTTCCATGCAGCTTTTGACTTGAGTCAACATGCTATGATGTTTAATTATCAGAGGGCAAGGAAAGTAAATCAAGTAACAGAAGTTTCACACTGCGCACCCTAGAAAGAGAATAGACTCTAACTCGCCCTTTCCACTCAGCTCACTGTGTTGATTTCTCCCTGTTTGTGAGAGACTCCTCTACACTTTCTACCCTGGAAATAGGGCACCAGTGAATTTTATAGAATTGTAACAAAACATACGCAAATGGAAAAAAGAAAGAAAAAAATCTGTGAATGGCCTTGATTAGACTTTCCTTCCCAGCTTACAGATTTCCCATTTTTCTTATGACTATTATTGTAACAGAATGCTTTGCTTTTCATTAAGTGGGTTCTTAAGGTAATGCTAACCATCTCTTTAAACTCTAAATCTATTTTTTTTCTTGATGGATCCTTTTTATTACATAATCTTTCCTCTCAAAATGAAATGTATATCTAACTTCAATAGGCAAACAATATGCATGGCAATATAAGAGAATGATAAGTGTTGATGTAGTGCTACTATATATGAAATTGACACTTGGAAAAGTTGCTTGTCCCAAATATTTAAGAACTCCAATATGAAACAGCAACTATAATCAAATTAAATATTAAGTTAAAAAATATAAGCTGAGAGACATAGCAATATCTTAAGAATAATTACTAGCTAGAATTTAGATAGCCCATAAATTTATATGTTCTGCAGAATTTTCAATCATTTCCATGGATTATTCAATAGACACATTTAGAAATAATTTATCTCTGTGTTTTAGAATTTTATATTCTTCCTCTTCCAAACAGATATCTTAATTGCACATAGTTTATATAAATAATTCACAACTTCCTAAATTTAGATTGTGCTGAATAAGCAAGGAAATGAACAAAATACCCCAAATAAGATAATCTGTTATCTTTCTGAGATGAATAGACTATTGTAATCATAAAAAGAATTCATTAAACATGTTCATGACCCTTGGTTGAGGACTTTCTTAGGGTTAATTCTGCAAAATCTTACCTACTTAAAGAAATGAGAAGAAGCACAAAATTACGAAGAAAATGGGTTTGATAAATTGGTATGGAAAATTGCTGTTTCATTGTAAGCCTTTTTTCCTTTATATCCTGCTTATATCAAAGACTTTTTGCAACAGAATTTGACCAATCAGGAATTTACTTTTGAAGTTATTTTTATTTTAAAAATACCTGTGATATAGACATCATTATCAATATTATTGTTATTACTGTATGGTGCCATTCATTTCAGAGCAACTTAGAGAGTCATACAGACATGATATATTCACACTAAATAATCAAAGAAATGGCAGTAGCTCTTTCATCATGATATAATATCAAATTTCAACACATACACAACCCATGCAGACCTATGAAGTCAGGGAATGAGCTCTGCAATTCTCATTTCAGTCTGCTGCAATTTTGATAGTACTTGCTTTTCGTTGACATAAATAGACACTTTTATAACAAGAGATGTTTTCTGTTCTTTTGAATGGGTGTTCCACCATCCCCCTCAGTAGAAACTGTCTTATCAAGAGATCTTAAATTCAATAATGATCTGCAAATTATATTTATTTGGCAATTTTGACAGATTTGTTTCTTAAAATCATGTCAGATCAAAGCCATTTCAAGATCTTTAGATCAAAAAACTTTTACTGAAATAACCTTAAAGGACTGATTTAAACTGACAAGAGAAATAAAATTGCAAGTTAAGGTTGTCATTTCCAGGCACTCAGCAAGTTCTGGAGAAATTTTTGAGTTCTAAAGAGTTCCTGAAAAGCAAATCATAAATGACCTTTTGTATTAGGACTCATTTGATTTTTTCTATCATTGTCCCTTGTAAATAGACTATTCCATATCTTTGGGTTTCCTAAAAGCTCTCTCTCTCTCTTTTTTTAAAGTTGTCACTATGTAGAGCGAATAAGTATTTATCAGGTACATGTTTAAATAATAAGATTCTCTGTAGGGTCTTGGACATATTTCTTTTATTTTTCTTTCTTTTTAAAAAATCTGCTACAGGGTGAGTGCACTCACCACAGAGAGATGGAGAAAGAGAGGGAGAGAAAGTGAGAAAGCACTCCCCAGTGGGGAGGACCACACTGCAATTACTTCTCCTCCATTCTGTTCTTGGGACTCTGGGCATGCATGCACATGCACCCAGCATGATTCTCAAGCTACTGGTTTGGGACTCCAACCATGTAGTCAGCCAAGTGGCATTCAGTCACCTTAACCACTACACCACCTTGCTGGTTCTTAGAAGTTCTTAAGAAACAAAACAAAACAAAAACAAAGCAAACTTTTCTTTCACCATTATATTGTTTTATTTCCTTAAATATCAGTTTGAGTCTCCTATGTTGGATTTACTTGCTAGTGATTAGCATCTTGTAAAACCTTCTTAATTGAGTTGCATTAGCTTTAACATTTGTCTTAACACAGTGCTCAGGACTGTCAAGATCAATTTAGTTCCTCTCCCCTTTGATTAAGTGATGTTTAACAACAGCTACAAACAGCCACACCACGAGACAGAACAGGCTGCAGCAGACTCTATGTGATTGCCCAACGAGCTTTATCACATCTCAATTCTACACAAGTAAAGTTAAATAAATTTGTGCTTGAACTTCCATATCAAAAGGGTTATGTAAACAAATTCCGTATCTGACATTCTGTTAGCTAACTCTTACTGCAGGGAGGGTTAATTTTTCTTCGTGATGATGGCCCTTGAAGAATTGCAGTATTCTGAAGTGTCTACTAAATTACAAAAAGGGTTTACAGGTGGAGTAAAGTTTTAGTAGGTAAAGTTTTGGTAGGAGCATAATTCATTGTTTTATAATTCTTTGAAAACTTATATAATGTCCATTGGGTACATGTGATAATTCTTAATAAGTATAAGCTCTACCCTTGACTATTTAAAGTTACAAAGAATGTGTTGAGTTTTCTGCTGAATTGCTTACATTAAATATTAATTATGAAGATAAGTTTTCTAATACTTTTAGGACACTCCTTTATTAGTAAAGCTGGTATTGGATAAGAAGAGATAAAATAGTATTAATCTGTTCAATAAATATGCTGGGCTATGATGTAGATTATTTTTTTTTAATTGCAACCATCACATGTTTTCATGCTAGAAGAGACTCTGGTATTATGCAGTGTCCTTTAAATACATTAAGTCATTTAGAGGATCAAATAGTAACTATATAAAGAGGTCCATTATCTCTATCTTTAAATTGGAACCCAAATAGCATAACAAATTGCCCAAAGTTGTAGAAATAGTGATGGTAATTATATAATTGAAACTTAATCCTATAAAATCTACTTTTTACTAACTAAACAAAATGAAACTAGGTACAAGAAAACCATGATAAAGTTGAAAATAAAGAACTATCACTAAGAAAATGAACAATCAAGGGAAAAAATAAAACATTTAACAAACGAAAAATGGAAAATTATCTGTCGATGATAGTATGTATGGTAATATCTTGGATTGAGCCAATATGCAGCGTATTCTGGATGGGAAAATTCATTTTGCATGCTGTAGTGATATATATAGTGAATGAATGTAAAAATAAATGAACAATTAATTATAAAAGATTTTTTTAAATTTTAAAATTTTTATTGCCAGAGGGCACATGTGCTTGCCAGAAAGATGGAGAGAAAATGAGAAAGCACCCCTCCCCAAAGGGGCATAGTCATGCTGAATTCCCGTCTCTTCCATTTCTGCATCCTTTTGAGATTTTGGGTACATATGCTTGCAGCCTATGAGTTTTTCAAGCCACCAGAGCTGGGGTTGAGGTTATAGTTGGCCATGTAGAATGTGGCTTCCTTAACAACTAGGCTACAGGCTGACCCTAGAGTGTGTATTTTTAATAGAACTTTATTTTGCCTCTGTATATGTCTTCTGGGTATATTTTAGCAACTTAGTCTAAAAAGTAGTTTATAAAAATATTTATACTTTTATTTATTTCCCACAAATGTTATTTTAATCAACATTTAAAATTTATAAAGGTAATTAAAAAAACTAGAGACATATAAATCTCTTAAAAATGTGTATGTTAAATATATTCTAAGTTCATTTTTTTTTTCTTTTATAGGTTTTTGCTATAGGGCTCATGTGCTCACCAGAAAGACAGAGAGAGACAGAGAGACATCCCCCCCCAGGGGGGATGGCCATGCTGCAATCCCTTCTCCTCCATTCTCCTCTCGGGATCTTGGGTACACATGCACACGCAGCCAGTGTGAGTTTAAGACTGGGTCCGGGATTTGAACAGCCTTCAACTACATGGGAGTCTAGCAACATAGCCATTACACCAACTGCTGGTCCCACACTCAGTGTATTTTTGAGGTTGCTGGGTCTGGGACTTTAACTGCCCAGCCAGCTATGTAGGATCCAACTGCCTCATCCACCATGCCACTGGTTGACCCAGAACATTTTCTTTTTAAATAATATTATTTTTATTAATGGTGGAGGACATGTGGTCTCATGATATATATA